CTATCAATTGATGAATAGTTTCTTCCTCTACTTGCTCGAAACTTGAGGAACCTTAGAGAAGTAGATTTGAGCTCCGTTGACATTTCTTCAAAAATCCCCCATGAGCTTTCAAACATGTCTTCTCTTAGATCACTAGGTTTTGAATACTGCAACCTGCTTAGAGTCCATTAACTTGGATGGCAATGAGAGGCAATCTTCCCAATTTCCATGGAAATAACTCTTTGTTAGAGTTGAGCATTTCCGGCATACCTGACTCCATTGGCAACCTTCAAACAATTGAGCGTTTTTGATGTTTCGGGTGGGAACTTTCTTCTGTCCTCGCTACTCAATTTGACGCAACTAAGTCATCTCGATCTTAGTGCCAATCAGTTCAAAGTGATAATTCTTTTACGGGAGTCATTCCTTCATCCTTGTTCAAGATTTCTTCATTGATCTCCATCAATTTGGGTCATACCAACTTCAGAGATCGTTAGAAGACTCTCTCGAGATTCGGATCAATACTGTTGATCTAAGATCAAATGCTTTCCAAGGACCAATCTTCATCCCACCAAGAAATATCGCAACTTATTTGGCTTCTAAGAACAACTTCACCGGAGAGATACCTCCATCAATATGTAGACTAAGCTCTCTATCCACCCTCGATCTATCAGACAACCACCTCCACGGCTCAGATGTTCTCTGAATCTTCGTAATAATAGCATCACCGGAAGTCTTCCTCACATATCTACCAAAAGTTTAAGGTCACTTGACGTCAGTCACAACCGGTTGGTAGGGAAGCTTCCAACATCTCTGAGAGCCTTCAAGTTCTGAACCAAATCAACGACACTTTTCCCTTTTGGTTGAATTCTCTACAAAGCCTACAAGTTCTTGTGCTCCGCTCTAATAAGTTTCTGGATTTCCTCAACTGAGGATCATTGATGTATCACATAATGGCTTCACGAAGGCAATGTGCGCACTGATGAAGATGATACAGAATTGAAGTACATGGCAAATCCTGGAGGCTACTATGATGAGCAAAGGGATAGAAATGGAGATGACACAGTCTACACAGCCATTGATTTTTCTGGAAACAAAATCCAAGGAAGTGTTCCTGCATCCATCGGCTTGGTAAAAGGACTTCGTGTGCTCAATTTGTCAAGCAATGGTTTCACGGGGAGCATCCCAACATCTTTGGAAAACTTGACGAATCCCAAAACAAGCTTTCAGGTCAGATTCCTCCGGGAATTGTCTTCTCTTGAGTGGATAAACGTTTCACATAATCACCTAGTAATGTAGGTTCAATACCACAGGGCACACAGTTTCAACGACAAAATTGCTCTTCTTACGAGGGAAACCCAGGACTGTATGGTCCTTCCCTTAAGGATATTTGTGGAGATACTTACGGGCCAACATCACAACAACCCGAACCGGCGGAGTC